AACTAAGAAGTATGTGCTATCTTGAGTTGAAGGCATCAATTTGACAGACACTTAGTACAGCAAACTCTTCAGAAGAAGAATTAATTGCTGCCTCTTTGAACAGTAGGTGAGAGAAAATGACAGTCTAAGGGAAGACAAGAAAAGCAGAACTGTAATCAGCAGACTTTTCTTCCATCTCTCCCAAGAAAGTCTAGTTTATCTGTTCTAATTCTATGCCCTTTTCTACATGAAACTTAGACCAAGGCTGAAAAAACAACTAGAAGACATGGAGAGAAGCTTTTTAGAATTTCACATGATTTTCCCAAACTGATCCCAGAAAAGCAGAACTCAGTAGAATGTACTCACCTCGATGCATTCTGTCTTTTTTCCATAAGCTTCATCACCTGATTGAAAAAGCAGAGTATACTTAGTATTTAGGCTCACAACAGGAAACCTTCATCTTCATTTCATAAAAGAAACTACATTAATTTACACAGCTGCAGGTGCGTATCCAGATGTTAAAGCCTTTAAGCTTTTCAGAGTGTGAGAATGCCCTGCTAAGGAAGGCTGAAAAACACTCGGACCCTGCACAGGTCAAAGACAACCTTGGTTTTGTCTGTGTTCTAGTACCTGGCTAAAGAAATGGTAGAACAACTGCAGTTGTTCCTTGCCTTTTCACTAAGAGATTGCCAGGGGCTGGGCCAGCCTGGGCACTGCCGGGGCAGCAACAGCTTTCTGCGCTGGCACCTTTTGGCCGGGAGGAACCTTCGTCCCTGTTCAATTCTGGGAATCGGACTGGCAACACAAGCCAAGTCACCAGCAGAATTGTGGACGTTTGCTCTCCTCAGAGCGCCCACGGTGAGGGGAAAAAGAACATTTGGTTCACTGTCCCGAGGACGGAGACAAACAAAAAACCACACCACCAGACTGAATTCACCTGCAGAAGCCCAAATTCACCGAACGCCTGCTGAATTCAGCAGGAACACACTCCCTCGACCACAAGGCATCCTTAGGACGTCTCGAACTCCCGATTTAAGCCCTAAGAAGCCAGTGAGTGACAAAACACTCCAGCTCTCCACGGGCGCCGCTTCCAAGCCCGCCCCCGACCGCCGGGCTCTGAGGCCTCGCAGTCGCCGCCTGGCGGACACAGCCGGGAACGGCACTGCAGCCGCGCGCCCCCCCCGCCCCTTGCAAGACCCGCGGCGCCTTTCGCAAGTACGGGCTTTTCTTCCCCAAAACCTGCTCTTACCTAGGAAAAGCTGAGCAATTCACAGAGTTGCTGTTTCCATCCCAGCTTCCCAAAGGATTTCTCTCTCCTGGCAGCACAGACAGGGTCCCTGAGGCAGCACAGACCCTCCCCGAGGAACTGCAATGCCAGGGCACATCCGAACCCGGCCCTGTCACCTGCCGCTCTCTCCGCCCCTTCTCCTCGCGGCGGCACGCACGTGCAAGTTTCTCCGCAGAGGCGAGAAACTTGCCTGTCGCTTCCCCTGCCTGCAGCCCCCGATGGCCGCGGGAGAGGCAGAAGAGCGGCCGCGCCCCCGCCGGGCCCCGCTTACCCCGGGGACGATCTCCTGGAGAGCCCGACGTCGGGTCTGCCGCCGTGGGTCGCTTCCGGAGGGGGAAGGCGGCGGCGCAGCCCCGACAGCATCTCCGGGGCACGGCGGGACCGAGCGGGGCGGGAGCGGAACGGGGCGGCAGGCGCGCCGGGCCCCGCTGTCTGCCTGGGGTCCTCGCGCCTCCGCCGCGCGCCGCGGCCCCGAGGCGGGCTGCCCGCGCCAGTGCCTGCCGCCGCCCACGAACCTGCCGCCCGCGCCCGGCGCCGCCGAGCGCGCCGCCCTGTCCCCGCACCGGAAAACAGCGCGGCGAGACGGCGCTGCGGGTGCGGGTCGGGGGTCCGCGTCGGGGTGGAGTTCAGGCAACAGGATAGACGCCTCTCCGAGGGAAGGGGGCCTCTCGCCGCCATCTTTAGTGTGGTCTCAGCTAAGTTCCGGTCCTGGCGGCGCCATCTTTAGTGTGGCCTCGGCGAACTTCCGGGCCGGGGCCGCCATCTTTGTGTACGGACTTGGAGGACTTCCGGTGAGAGCGCCGCCATCTTTCTGTGTGGCCTCGCAGGAAAGACTTCCGGTCCAGGAGGGCGCCATCTTGGGTGGTGCGTGTCGAAAACAGTCCGGTGGCTCTCACTTCCGGTTCCCCCCGGAGAACGTCTCTCACTAATTTCTGCGCTTTCGCCTCGAAAATCTTCATGTTATTCCCCCTGCACACACCCCGAGAGAGACGGGAGACCACGAGTCCCGTCGTACGGCGGGAATCGGCCCTTAAGTTGAGCAGGGAGCGCTGCAGCGGCACGAGAGCCACTGCGCTTGCGTCGCCGGTCCCGCGCCTGGCCGCCCTTAATGACCACGTGATCGCCGGCGTCTCGCTCGTGACTGCGCATGAGCCGATGTCGTCACCCTGGCTGCCCCCCCACCACCTGACCACCCGCCTTCTCTTTCTTCCTGCGCGCGCCTCACCCGCTTTTCTGGGGCCCCGCCCTGATGTTTCGCGGCTTCCCCGCCGCTTTTTCGGCTCCCCGGGGTTCCCCCCCACACGTTTTGGGGTCCCCTTCGCACATTTTAGGGGTGACCCCCCAATTTACGGTTCGGAGGGCGGGGGGGAAAGTAAACGGGGTGCCCAAGAAGGGTTTTCTCTTTTTTTTTCTCTTTTATTTCACTTTTCATTTTATTTCCTTTTTAGTTTCCTTGCTTTTAATTTTTTTTATTTTTCTTTTGTATTTTATATTTCCTTTTTTATTTCGTTTATTTTTTATTCTCTTTATTTTTCATTTTCTCTCTCAGTGCTCCCCAGTAACACCCTGTAACAACCAGTGCTCCCCAACAGCCTCAGTAACACCCAGTGCTCCCCAGTAAACCCCAGTAACACCCAGTGCTCCTCAACAACCCCCAGTAACACCCAGTGCTCCCCAGTAAACCCCAGTAAC